CTAGGTTTCCAGGGCCTCCCTGTAGATTGATTAATTTGAATAATTTTCACAGGTTCCAGGGCACAGGGGATGTCCCTCATTGCCTAGTACCTGGCTCTAGAGTGGAATATTAGGGCTGGTACAGAGGGGCCCAGAGCACAAGAGCCCAGATCAGGGAGTTGTCAGGGTGGGGATTTAATCATCTGCTTAAAAAGGGGAACGGACTAGCCTCCAGCTAGAGCCTCAAAACTGGTTCAAGACTCGTTTTTTAAAAATAATAATAAGCAGGCTGGGCACAGTGGCTCATGCCTGTAATCCCAGCACTTTGGGAGGCCAAGGCGGGCAGATCACAAGGTCAGGAGTTCAAGACCAGCCTGATCAACATGGCTACTAAAAATACAAAAATTAGCTGGGTGTGGTGGTGGGCTCCTGTAATCCCAGCTACTCAGGAGGCTGAGGCAGGAGAATTGCTTGAAACCAGAAGGTGGAGGTTGCAGGGAGCCAAGATCACACCACTGCACTCCAGCCTGGGTGAAAGAATGAACTCCATCTCAAAATGATAATAATAATAACAACAAATAGGCTATGTTACGCAGAGTGGTTTTACCTTGCATGCCTACTCAGATCCACCACCTACAGCCCAGCGTTGAACAGAATTCTAACTCAGAGCACAGGCTCTGGGGGAAAGAGTGCCGAGATTGTTGTGTGGTGCCGAGAAGGGTATAGAGTTAGTAAAAATTCCCATAAGCCAGAGATTTGCTGACCCAGATGCTAGAGAGTTACTATCTTGGATTCAAGGGCTACCCTAGAGCAGGATGCTTTCTATAATGAAAAAGAGGCATTAGCTGTCTCTGCCGGGTGCTTGGAGTATTTGACTAATCTCAAGAGGAATCTACTGGTCCTTTTTGGCTACAAATTTCCCTCATAATCCTTAAGCCAATTTACAATTCTACGCTTACTAATTATACCTACATGATATATTTATTATTTATATATTTATTAAATGTTTTATTACCTATTTACTTATTACCCATCTTTCTCACTAAACTATCAGTTCTAGTGAGGATTTTATTCACCGAAGCAAACCCAGTGCCTAGTAAGATGGCACTCTTTCAGAGTCCGCATTCTGTAAATATTTGTTGAATGAGTGGGTAAACAAAAACAAAGGAAATAATAAATGGATAAATAAATCACTCACCAAGCAATTTTCTAGTCCTGGTGGAGCTCTTTTTTAGTAAAAGACAGAACGCTCACCACACTTCCAGGACTATGTCTGGTATATTTCATAAGATTATAGCCTGTTATCCCAGCGAGCCCCTTATTCTAATGTATAATTTAATTAACAAGGGGCAAGTGGTAGGGAATGCTCACCTCTAGGCACAGTCAGGAGTGAGCCTCTCAGTAGACTATAAAAATAGAGGTTGGATTCAGGCAGCACCCTCTTTCACCCTTTGGGAAAGGTACCTCACACAGTCTCCCTCTTTCACTCTCAGGAAAAGGTACCTCACACAGTCTCCCTCTTCCACTCTTAGGAAAAGGTACCTCCTCTAGCTTTATTCCCTACTTACACTTTCTACAAGAGCAGCAGCCAAGTCGTTGTATTTGATACTAACTCATGGTTTCTTAGGTTGCTGGTTTAAATAAAATCTGCTGGGGCTTAGAAGATTTTTCTACACTGACTTTCATCCTTGCTGCTTAATTAAATCCCCAACCTGGGAAAGTGATTTTCAGCCACCTCGCTTTCTGTGGCATCAGCTTGAAACTGTGACTGTTGAAATACCAAAATGCCAGTTGTGCTTAATGCTCCAGGTATAACAAGGCTGTTATATTTGGAATCCCTGATGAAGATAGATATTAACTGAGAATTGAAAATGACAGCAAAGGAGATTGAATCAGAGTAGCAAAATGAACACGCAAATCTACTTTTGCTCCAATTCCTAGACGTGTCGGAAAATACCTTTTTCTTTGAACACATCTGTAACAGTACTAGAAAACAAGAACACATGCTATGAGAGAACCAGAAATATTGGGAATTTCCTGAAGGACTACAGCAAATGCAATTGAGTTGTGAACAATGAAGATGACCAGAGACCAAAGAATACTCAGAACAAAACAGCTACACAGGGGGAGCACGCTTAATGCACAGCACTTCACTGAAGAGCATGCAGAGTCTGCAGTGGATTGATTGCATTAATAGCCCTAATTATTCACCCCTCCCTATGTGCATACCCCTGTCATAGACTTTGCAGTTTGTTTCACAACAGAGGTGGAGCCTGTGACCCATCCCCTGAGTCTGAACTGGCCTTGAGACTTGCTTTGCCAATGAAACGAAGCAGAAGCGACAATGTGTCGGTTCTGGATCTAAGCCATAGAGGCTTTATGCGCTTTGCATGTTTCCATGCTCAGCTCCTGAACCTTGACCATTGCTATGAAACTGACCTTCTGGGGAATGAGAAATGTGGAATAGGACAAAGTCACCCCAGTCACCTCAGCAAAAGCCAGCCAACACCCAGGCCTGTGAGTGAGTCATTGGGGTTTTGTGGCTGTTTATCACACAGCATTACTGTGACAATACATAACTGATACAGCCTCAACTGTATTCAAAACACCACATTACTATTTATAATGAACAATTGGCAGCAATTATGTTGGACTCCAGAATTAAGCCCACACCTACACTCTAAAGAAAGGGAACCCATGCCTAAGGAGGACACTTAGGTGAGCACAGAAGCCTGGGAAAGAACTGTGTTAACTACGGACCTTCAGACTTTCTACAGGGCATGGAAAAAAGGAAAAGGCAGCTCTACTTAGGAGAAAGATAAACTGATCTTTTCTCTCACCAGGGGTAAGAAAAATCCTCCTTGCTGGGCCAGGCACGGTGGCTCACGTCTGTAAGCCCAGTACTTTGGGAGGCCAAGGCAGGCAGATCATGAGGTCAAGAGTTCAAGGCAAGCCTGGCCAACACAGCAAAACCCTGTCTCTACTAAAAATACAAAAAATTAGCTGGGCATGGTGGCACGTGCCTGTAGTCCCAGATACTCGGGAAGCTGAAGCAAGAGAATCGCTTGAATCTGGGAGGTGGAGGTTGCAGTGAGCTGAGATTGTGCCATTGCACTCCAGCTTGGTCAACAGAGTGAGACTTCATCCCCCGCCCCACTACCAAAAAAAAAAAAAGATAAGAAAATCCTCCTTGCTACAGCCATAAGGCTGGGAGAAGGAGGCGGCACCATTACTGTTTGTCTGTTAAACATTCAAGTATCCAAAAAGGAGATGGACCAATTGACACACCCTGCTCCCTTAAAGGAGCCTGTAAATAGCCCTTGCACTTCAGACTCATGGCAGACCAGAGATACAGAACAGCAGAGAAGCCTGTCTACATCCACCTGCCTCCATTTTCAGTCTTTCAAAATGGAGACACAAGAAACACTAGATTTTAGTAAAAATACTTGACATGAAAAAGAAGTAATAAGATAAAGTATGGGCCAACTAATTTTAGAGGAAACAAATATTCAGTACAAGAAAGGAATACTGTTTAGAAAATATAGTAATTTCTTATAAGAATAAGTTATAAGAATACTGTATATATTTTATTATCTCATATACATTATATTATAACATCTCTTATAAGAATAATCTCTTATAAACATATATTTGAAAATAGAATAATCTCATATTAGTATCTCTTATATTAGAATCATATAATACAATCCATTATAATATTGCATCAGTGATGGAAAGCCACTTTCAGAACTCTTTCAGAAAAGAATAAGGAAACAATAAGAAAGAAAACTTTCAGAAATCATAAAGAACCCTTGGAAATTATTTTTTTCTAAAAATGTTTTCTGAAATTATTTTCCAAAACAATTCTCAGTATTATGATAAATAGTAGAAGAAACAAGCCCAAATACAAAATAAATGATCAGGAAAATAAAATTGAGGAAAAACTTTAAGAACATGGAGGAAAATAAAACTAGAGGTATGTAAGAAAGACAGAAAGTGTGAGGACGGATTCAGAAGGTCCAGCATGTGCTGACTGGAAGTTCCAAAAGGAAAGAGGAGAGAATATCATAGATGGGATAAAACATGAAAGAAACAGTAGAGAAAATTTCCCAGTGTGAAAAATAACGGCCTTCTGATTGTGATAGCTGTGCTGAATAGAAAGAATTAAACAACAACAAACATTAGTCTTCAGACAAACCCAAGTAATGAGGAAAGTGGAACTAAGCCAAAGTATGCTGGGTTTTGAGAAGGTATTAGGAAGGCGTAGATAATGATAAAGATAATGACCAATTCTAGATCTCAATTCTAAATTAAAAATACACGTATTTATTATCTATACATGGAAGAGCGTGGGAAGGAGTGTAGAAGGACACACAGGGCATGGGAGGTAAATCGTGGGCTGAGATGAAGGGAGACTTGTACATTGAAATGTAACAACTTCTGGGCCGAGCACGGTGGCTCAAGCCTGTAATCCCAGCACTTTCGGAGGCCGAGGCGGGTGGATCACGAGGTCAAGAGATGGAGACCATCCTGGTCAACATGGTGAAACCCCGTCTCTACTAAAAATACAAAAAATTAGCTGGGCACGGTGGCGCGTGCCTGTAATCCCAGCTACTCAGGAGGCTGAGGCAGGAGAATTGCCTGAACCCAGGAGGCGGAGGTTGCGGTGAGTCGAGATCGCACCATTGCACTCCAGCCTGGGTAACAAGAGCGAAACTCCGTCTCAAAAAAAAAAGAAAAGAAAAAAGAAATGTATCAACTTCTAACATTCAGAGCTTTTCCATCATTTATATATCAAAATACAGGTAACAGTTATTTTTAAAATACAGCATAAAATCATGTTTGCTTTCAATGTGTAATAAAGCTATTTTCTTGAATTGGAAGGACTGGTAAAAGTTATATTTACTTTATTTCTGTTTCTTTTAAGATTACATGTATAAATGAGACATGATTACACGTGACTTTAAAGTATCTTAGTTTTCTTTTTTGTCTTTACCTAACTCATTCATTCTTCGTTTTAGGCCAGGAGATATAATTACTCTTTTAGAGGATTCCAATGAAGACTGGTGGAAAGTAAGTGTTTCTCTTTCTCAAAAAAAAAAAAAGAAAGAAAGAAAGAAAGAAAAAATCATTTGATAACTACAATTACAATACATGCTGCAACTGTGGATGCATACCTCCTTTTTCCTTTCAGGGAAAAATTCAAGACAGAACCGGCTTCTTTCCAGCCAACTTTGTTCAGAGAGTACAACAAAATGAGAAGATTTTTAGATGTGTTAGAACCTTCATTGGGTGTAAGGAACAGGGACAGATAACACTGAAAGAGAATCAGGTGAGTCAATCATACAAACACGTTCCAGATATGAGCCAGATAGGATGTCATTTTAATAAATGTGATAGGGCCGGGCGCGGTGGCTCACGCCTGTAATCCCAGCACTTTGGGAGGCCGAGGCGGGTGGATCACGAGGTCAACAGATCAAGACCATCCTGGTCAACATGGTGAAACCCCGTCTCTACTAAAGATACAAAAAATTAGCTGGGCATGGTGGCGCGTGCCTGTAATCCCAGCTACTCAGGAGGCTGAGGCAGGAGAATTGCCTGAACCCAGGAGGCGGAGGTTGCGGTGAGCCGAGATCGCGCCATTGCACTCCAGCCTGGGTAACAAGGGCGAAACTCCGTCTCAAAAAAATAAATAAATAAAATAAAAAAATAAATGTGATAACGTGTATAAATCTGAATGTGTGGGGTCACATTCAAAGTATTCACTTTGAGAGAAGATATACTCACTACAATAATGTCAATGCTGTAGGAGCTAAACATGCAAACCAAAATTTTAGGAATCTCACTTGGTGGTTCCTGTTCACAAAAGGAAATGCCAAAGCAGCAGGGTGAGGACACCTGGTCCCCCATGGTCTTCTCTGAGGACCACTGGTCTCTCTAATGTGGGCAGCTTCTCTTATTCGGGCTCTGAGTTAACGTCCACCAATGGTGTGGTTAATTCTTCAATGCTCTCTAGTGAATACTTAGTTCTTGGTTGTTGCTGTTAGGAACCTCTTGGGTTTTCTTATCTGGGTCCAAGCCTCTACCTTCTCAGTGAAGCTCACAACACTTTCATGTCACTGCAAAAGACATGCACTAAGCTTAGATAACCAGATATTATCTCAAGCTCATAAATGAACGTCTCTGTACATCTAATCTAGAGGTGCCTGTCACTGTCTTGGTCCAGGAATGCAGAGTTCTCTTTGATACTGTCAATTTTCCTGAGAAGTAAAATGTGAACCCCCACATTTGTATGTCTTTCAACTCCACCATCTCATGACAGAAACGCTGATAGTGACAAAGAGGCAGCATACTCACAGCTTAGCTCCCTGGCCTGCTCTTCCTCTCCTTGTCTTCCAGCAGAGGGAGGCCTTCCTACCCTCCCTTCTTCTCTGATTGCCCCTCCCTCAGGTCATATCCTGTGTCCTCACTACAGAGTAAAATAATATACTCCGACACCCAAGTTTTTTCTTGATATACTAGTGGAGAATTTGGAGAATTAAAAATTTATTTTCTCTCCCAATAAAGTCACACAGAGGACCTTAAATTTCAACTTTGGAAGTCAAAATCTCTCCTCTCTTTCTTTCTGCCTTCCTGGTATAATAATTTTATTATTTCCCAAGGCGATGGCAGCCTGGAGTTGGCATTGATAAAGCTCGCCCTACAAGGAAGTTCAAAATGTAAAAGGCATGAATAATTTTAATATATCTCTGTTCAGTAGAGTTGCCCAAAGCGCATCTTGAATGCCTTTTTTAGGATTCCTTCAAAGATAGTTTCTAAGTCATACCAAAGAAATCAGTCATTACCTTATACCTGATTTGTAGCTTTAAAAATTGTTTGCCCAGTTAATCAAACATTGCGTATTCCACATGTAGCCTCAACTGACTTTACCATTTTCAAACTAACAAATATATCCTCAAAAATAATAATTTACCTTTTCTTTATGGCTACTCAGAATAATCTTTAAAAGAAAAACGATAATATGGAGGACAGCTTTTTTTAAAAAAAAAAAGTAACTCACTCTCCCTTTATATTCAGGTAAATGAAAATCATTGAAAATAGGAGATGAATCATTCTGAGTATTACTTTCCCTATATATTTTAACAAAGGTGGGGATGGAGCCATCGAAACTGGCACTTTTATAAATGCTAGGAGACATTAGTCCACTCATCCGGATACTGATTTGGTGCCATAAAGTTCGAGCCATGAAATTGCTCAATTTCATCAATACATTAATTCCATTTTCTATAATGTATCCAAAAAAATAACCCAAAGTAAATAAGGGAAGACTTTATGTAAAAAAAAAAAAAAGGTAGTCACCAGAGTGATATTCACGATGGTGAGAATTAGGAACAATTACACAACAATGGAAGTGATTAGCTCAATGATAATATTTTCTTTAATGGACAAAATATGCAATTTTGATGGTCTTGTGATAATATTATGGAATTGGAACACTGGAATCTGGACCCAGATTTCAGTCAATGTTCACCCAAGGTAAACACAAAGGGAGAGGTGCAGATGGGGCCTGAAGCCCTGTTTTCATTCATGGAACCACAGTGAACTGGACGGAATACCAGATATGATCTGGAGCCCGAAGAGGCCTCACCAGAGCCCACCCACCTTACCACCACCACCACAGACTGGTCTGAATCTAAGCATCCAATAGTACCAGATGACCCATGGGAGAAAAGGAGCAGAAAGGACTATAACAAAACTGGCATAAGATGCCCTGATGCCCTCCCAGGAAGAACAAGATAAGAGGAAGCTTTAAGAGACAGTAAGAAACCCCTGGCATATGTGGTATAATCAGATCCGCCTTTGGAGAAGGGAGGAGAGACCTAGGAGAGAGGCAGGTATCTTCAAGTATAGTGTTGCCATCTTACATGATGGTTTCATAAACCATGAACAAATAAATATTAATGATACAATGGCAGTAAAATATGTAAGGGCTTTTTTCTCTTCCATTTAAATTTCTTTTATTGTGTTAACTTACAAAAAAACTAAATTTAAAAATAAGCACAATTTAAAATACTCAATCTTGTCTTTCTAATCTAGTAACATAGGTACACAGTGTTGCTGTGCTTTTCCTGGGCCTCAACTTTGCACTTGTGTGCACAAATGCAGGCATACACACACACATCACCATATCCCAGCACTGCTATATCGAATTGCATTCTCTGCCTCTTATATAGATGCAATAACCCCGAAAGCTGTATGCCATCTAATGATTTTTGGTTGTTAAAGTCTCTAACATCTTTAGGAAATTGGGTCACTGGGCTCTATGGTTTCACCCTGGTTTTACAGTTTTACTTGAAATTGACATTATTCCCTTTCTTAAAAATGGCTTATATGATGTGCCCACTCCAGGACAAACCACATTTTGTAAATTACACAAGCTCTCTTACCAGGTTACTTGTGGACAGAATATCTGTTTAAAGAAATCAAAAGCCATCAATGTGCCGACATGAAATACATCTCACTTAAGAGCACCTGATCCTTCATTTTCTGCCTGAAGTTGCTTGTTCTCCATGGGGCTGTTATTTGCCCATCTATCATTTTCCTGAACACTCCTCAAAGAGGAAACAGCAGAAGCTAGCATCTGCCTATACAGAGCAGTGGCGTCTGAGGGATCCCCTTAATGACAATGTCCCTGGAAACCCACTTCCCCTACCCCTGGAAGATTTCAGTGACCACTCTACTTCCCATAAAAGTATGTGCAAACCCCACATGGCTATTCCTTTTTGGATGTGATGACCCTGTTTGGGGGTCTGCTTTTTGAAAGAGAACCTTTTATCTCTAGTCCCTGGCTCAAAGGAAAGGAAAGAACAAATTAATACTGTCTTAAACGTTGTCACAATAACAATTGTTGTAAGTATCATTATAATTAGTCATTATTTAACGTCACACAGACGCACTGTTTATATAAAGTTTATATACCTATAACATTTATTTGGGGGGCCATACACATGCCCTGTGAATTTTATGGATTCATTGTTTCTATTTTATAAATGAGGAAACAAACACTCATACAGGTTATGTGTCTTGCTCAAAGAGCAAAAGCCTAGTAAGTGTCTAGGCTGGAATGTAAACACAGGTCTGCAAACTCCAAATCAGGGCTTTCCACTAGCCATGTGCCCTGAACAATGAGGAATGAACTCTGAACAGTAAAGATCAGCTAAAGCTCCCAAGGATGGCGAGTGTCATAAAGGCAGGTGTCTTGGAACCAGAGGACTCCTTGAAAACAAGTTCTTGCTCATGTGGGCTCCCTACTGAGTCATTCTTGATTCCAGGCAAAGGCATCATTATCACAATAACACCCTGTCTCTGATGCCATACACAACCCACAAAGCAAATGGGCACTTTTCCCAGCTTAATTCTATGCCAACACTTCAACCTTCTCTAAGTTTACCCAACTTCCTGTTCCAAAAATTTGAGAAGTCTTTTGAATGAAATAAATTTGGGAAGAATGTTCATCTTTATTGGCAAAATGTTATTCAATAATCTTGCTAGCATGTTTTTTTCTCAGAATAATCTTATGCTTTTTAATTTGAGAGCAAACATTGTTTCTATGTTACTAAAATACAATTGGTGAAGCCAGAAGACAAATTAAAATTTGCTCAAGTTGATCAATTTCCAGAAGCAGAACATCTGTTCAGTGACTCCCACCAATTCCTTGGCATATTTCCCCCATTTTTTTTCTGGGAATGGGCCTCATACCTGAATTCTACGCCTACATGCTTAAACTGAATGTGCTAGGGGTTGGGGTGTGGAGGAGGTAAGGCAACAACTCAGCCTCTTCAGCTACACACATTCAGGATATAATAGAACATTTCAGCCTGAACCTGGAACCAAATGAGTCTGCTCATAATTGTTTGCTTCTAACTTTTACTTTAGGTTAGAAGGTACATGTGAAGGTTTCTTTTTTTTTTTTGAGATGGAATTTCGCTCTTGTTACCCAGGCTGGAGTGCAATGGCGCGATCTCGGCTCACGGCAACCTCTGCCTCCTGGGTTCAGGCAATTCTCCTGCCTCAGCCTCCTGAGTAGCTGGGATTACAGGCACGCGCCACCATGCCCAGCTAATTTTTTGTATTTTTAGTAGAGATGGGGTTTCACCATGTTGACCAGGATGGTCTTGATCTCTTGACCTCGTGATCCACCCGCCTCGGCCTCCCAAAGTGCTGGGATTACAGGTTTGAGCCACCGCGCCCGGCCGTGAAGGTTTCTTATACAGATAAATTGCATGTCACGGGGGTTTAGTGTACAGATTATTTCACCACTCAGGTAATAAACATAGCACCAATTTTTTAAATACATCAGCCATTTCAAAGAAAAATTACTTTTTAAAAACCTATTTTAGAAACAAATTTCAAAATTTGTCTCCACTTGAGTGTCCTAAGTTATTTTAGGTATAAGTTTTCAAAATATGCTTGTTAATGGCAGGGAGCATATAATAGAAAGAACACATATACTAGCGTCATACAGAAATGGATCTATATCCTGTGTGATTTTGACCAAGTAGCCTCTGAATGTCAACCTTCTCATCAGCATAGTAGCATCTCCATCTTGAACGTTATGTGAGGGTTAAATGTGCTCACCTATATAAAGCCTTAGCACAGAGCCCGGCCACCACAGATACATAGCAGAAGTCATTTTGCTGGCTACCATCGTCACTCAAGAGTAAATCCTAAATGAGGAATTCATCTGCAGTGATTAATGCCACCTGAAGTTACCCAGTAAGCACCAGAAAGTTGCCAATATATTTATAACCCTACAAATATAAAGATAAATGGGATGCATATCTCTGATTAATTCACATTTTCAACCTCAGGGTTAATCTGTCTTATTACTATTATTATTATTATTATTATTTGGCAGAGCTCTAGTTTCCAAATACAATTAAGTTATCCATTTGTTGTGAACACAGTAAGAATTTGCATTGACAGAGTATGTTTTCTGTTTTCTTTGTCTTCTTCCTCTTTTGTGTGTGTGTGGCGGGGCAGGATTTCACTCCCTGGGCTCAGGGAATCCTCCCACCTCAGCCTCCCAGGCAACTGAGACCACAGGTGTGCACCATCATCCTCAGATAATTTTTGTATTTAATGTAGAGATGGGGTTTCAACATGTGGCCCAGGCTGCTCTTGAAGTGCTGGGCCCAAGCGATCTGCCCACCCCAGCCTACCAAAGTACTGGGATTACAAACGTAAGCCACTGCACCTGCCCTCTTTATTTTTAAAATTTAAAACATATCCTTATTAAATCAACTTTAAAATACCATTAAAACATTTCTTTTCTTTCTTTCTTTCTTTCTTTCTTTTTTTTTAAGATGGAGTTTCACTCTTGTCACCCAGGCTGGAGTGCAATGGCGTAATTTTGGTTCAAGTGATTCTCCTGCCTCAGCCTCACAAGTAGCTGGAATTACAGGTGCCTACTACCATGCCCAGCTAATTTTTATATTTTGAGTAGAGACAGGGTTTCACCATGTTGGCCAGGCTGGTCTCAAACTCCTGACCTCAAGTGATCCGCCCACCTCAGCCTCCCAAAGTGCTATGATTACAGGCATGAGCCACCACACCTGGGCAAAATCATTTCTTTAATGAGAATAACACTGAATCTACAAATTACTTTGGGCAGTATGGCCATTTCCACAATACTGGTTTTTTCTATCCATGTGCATGGGATATTTTTCCATTGGTTTGTGCCCACAGTTATTTCCTGGAGCAATAGTTTGTAGTTCTCCTTGAAGAGGTCCTTCACTCCCCTTGTTAGTTGTATTCTAGGTATTTTATTATCTTTGTAGTAATTATGAATGGGAGTTCATTCATAATTTGTCTCTCTGCTTGTCCATTGTTGGTGTATAGCAAGGCTTGTGACTACACATTGGTTTTGTGCTTTGGGCTGAGATGATGGAGTTTTCTCAATATGGGATCATGACATCTACAAACAGAGACAGTTTGACTTCCTGTCTTCCTACATGAATACCTATTATTTCTTTCCCTTGCCTGTTTGCCCTGGCCAGAACTTCCAATACTATGTTGAATAGGAGTGGTAAGAGAGGGCATCCTTGTTATGCCAGTTTTCAAGGGGAATGCTTCTAGCTTTTTCCCATTCTGTATATCGGCTGTGGGTTTGCCATAAATGTCTCTTATTATTTTGAGGTGTGTTCCTTTAATACCTAGTTTATTGAGAGTTTTTTAAATGAACAGACACTGAATTTTACTGAAGGCCTTTTCTGCATCTATTTAGATAATCATGTGGTTTTTGTCTTTAGTTCTGTTTATGTGATGAATTACATGTATTTATTTGCATATGTTGAACCAGCCTTGCATTCTGAGAATGAAGCCAACCTGATCATGGTGAATAAGCTTTTTGATGTGCTGCTGGATTCAGTTTGCCAGTATTTTATCAAGGATTTTTATATCAATGTTCATCAGGGACATTGACCTGAAGGTTTCTCTGTTTGTTGTATCTCTGCCAGGTTTTAGTATCAGGATGATGCCAAGCTCATAAAATCAATTAGAGATGAGTCCCTCCTTTTCAATCCTTTGGAATAGTTTCTGAAGAAATGGTACCAGCTCCTCTTTGTAACTCTGGTAGAATTCAGCTATAAATTTGGTCCTCGGTTTTTTTTAATTGATAGGCTATTTGCTACTGCCTCGATTTCAGAACTTATTATTGGTCTATTCAGGGATTCAACTGGTTCTTGGTTCAGTCTTGAGAGGTGTATATCCATTTACATTCTTCACAGAATTAGAAAAAAACTCATATGGAACCAAATTCATATGGATCCAAAATAGATCCTGTATACACAAGGCAATCCTAAGCAAAAAGAACAAAGCTGGTGGCATTCTGCTACCTGACTTCAAACTATACTACAAGGCTACAATAACCAATACAAAATGGTACTGGTACAAAAACAGAGACATAGACCAATGGAACAGAATAGAGATCTCAGAAATAAGACCACACATCTACAACCATCTGATCTTGACAAACCTGACAAAAACAACCAATGGAGAAAGGAGTCCCTATTTAATAAATGGTGCTGGGAGAACGTGCTAGCCATATGAAGAAGATTGAAGCTGGACCCCTTTCTTACACCTTCTGCAAAAATTAACTCAAGATGGATTAAAGACTTAAATGTAAAACCCAAAACTATAAAAACCCTAGAAGAAAATTTAGGCAATACCATTCAGGACATAGGCACAGGCCAAGATTTCCTGATGAAAACATTGAAGCAATTGCAACAAAAGCAAAAATTGACAAATGGGACATAATTAAACTAAAGAGCTTCCACACAGCAAAAGAAACTATTAAAGCAATCAGACAACCTACAGAAGGAGAAAATTACGGCAATCTACCCATCTGACAAAGATCTAATATCCAGAATCTACAAGGAACTTAAATCAATTTACAATTTTTCAGAAAAACAACCCCAGTAAAAAGTGGGCAAATGACATGAACAGACACTTCTCAAAAGAAGATATTTATGTGGCCAACAAACATATGAAAAGAAGCTCAACATCACTGATCATTAGAGAAATGCAAATCAAAACCACAAGGAGATGCCATCTCACTCCAGTCAGAATGGTGATTATTATAAAGTCCAGAAGCAACAGATGCTGATGAGGCTGTGGAGAAACAGGAATGCTTTTACACTGTTGGTAGGAATGTGAATTAGTTCAACCATTATGGAAGACAGTGTGGCAATGTCTCAAAAACCTAGCACCAGAAATATCATTTGACCCAGCAGTTCCATTACTGGTTGTATACCCAAAGGAATACAAATCATTCTATTATGAAGATAAACGCATGCTTATATTCACTGCAGTACTATTCTGAAGAGCAAAGACATGGAATGGACCCCAACGTGCATCAATGAAAGACTAAATAAAGAAAATAGGTGTATATATATATATATATATATATATATATATATATACATATATATATATATCATAAAACACTATGCAGCCATAAAAAGGAACAAGATCATGTTCTTTGCAGGGACATGGATGGAGCTGGAAGCCGTTACCCTCAAGAAACTAATGCAGGAACAGAAACCCAAACACTGCATATTCTCAGTCATAAATAGGAGCTGAACAATGAGAACACATGGACACAGGGAGGGGAGCAACATACTGGGGCCTGTTGAGGTGGGGCCGTGACAGAGTGGTGACAGGGTGAGCATCAGGATAAAAAGATAATGCACGTGGGCCTTTATACCTAGGTAATGGGTTGACAGGTGCAGCAAACCACCATGGCACACGTTTGCCTATCTAATAAACCTGCACATCCTGCACATGTATCCTGGAACTTAAAATAAAATTTTAAAAAAAGAAAACAAAAAATACTGATCTAAAAAGTGGTCTTTAAAATACTTAGAAAAATTAATTAAGTTCACAAATTAATTTAGTCTATTCTACTCTAGTCAACCAAACGTTAATTAAAGATCCTTCCGAAAAAAATTTCTTTAAATTTATGCATAATTTTATTGCATCTGTAGAACCATTTCATTGATTGTTTTGTGTTCTATCAAAGCTGTAGGAAAGAAACAAAAATACTTTATATTACAAAACCAAAATGCATTTATTTTGGAGAAAATTAAAGGGAAGATATTTTTAAGAGGTATAAAAGATAAAATAGAAACCATAAGCAATTCAACCATTAAATTATTACCAACATAAACACTTCGGCATATTTCACACCAGACTTTTTAATTCATATTTTGATATCATATCCTCTTTAGTTTCCTAAGATTTAAAAAACAGCCATTAAATGTTTATCAAAACACAGCTTTTAAGAAAGTTTTATAGGATGTAGCTAAATTTATTTATATATATATGGTCTGTGGATGCTTTCATGCTACAACTAAATAGCTGAGTTGAGTCACTGCAACAGAGATCGGATGGCCTGCAAAGCCTACAATATTTAGTATTTGTCCCTTTATAGAAAAAGTTTGCCAATCCTTAGTCTAGATGTACAGGAATGTGTTTAAGTATCTCCTATTATTGGATATTCAAAACTTTCATTTTTTAAATTATTGATAACTACAATTAACATCTTTGAACCTGTTTGTCTCTAACTCTGATTATTTTCTTAGGATGCACTTTATAATTTAGAGGAAAGCAGATCAAGACTTTACAATTCTTGATGCCTACTGCCGAATTGCATTCAGAAAAGTTGTACCAAGCCACACTCACACCAGCTGTTCATGAGCATTTTCAGATCATCAGTTTCTTGCAAGAATTGAATGTTACTATTTATTGTTATGTTATTTTGATAGATTAATAATATTTCATGCTAATCTGCATTTTCTGGATAGAGAGGCTTACATTTTATCTCATATGTATATATTTTTTAATAATCTATTTATGTGCTTCACCCTTTTTCTTACATTATTTAAAAAGTTTTCTACCTTTGAAGAATATTTATGCCTGGTAAACCACATGTGACAGATATTTTCTCTAGCTCACCCTTTGTCCTTTGCTCTCAAGGTCTCTTTCTCCAGGAGCTTAATCCTTCTTTGCTTGGATCATTTCTAGTTTACCATACTGCCCTTGTAGTTTTAATGTCTTCATCGTTTCCCACTTCTTTATCCCTCTCCAACTCCTCCCAAGAGACTCCTTCAAGATAGTCCTCACTTCACTTTGATTTTCTGAAGTTTCCATTCAGTCTTTCAATACTTCTAAGATGTCAGTTTGGTATTTATTTCCTTGTAGACTTTTCTCAGTCAGCCCCTTTCTTCTGCAGCATCTTTTCTTTTTTCTAACTTTATTTTAAGTTGAGGGGTACGGTGCAAGTTTGTTACATAGGTAAACTTGTGTCCTGGGGGTTTTTTGTACAGATTATTTTCTCACCAGGTATTAAGCCTAGCACCCATTAGTTATTTTTCCTGATCCCCTCCATTCTCCTACCCTCCATACACCCTTCACCCTACCCAAAAGGTCCCAGTGTGTGTTATTTCCCTCTGTGTGTGCACGTGTCCTCATCACTTAGCTCCAACTTACAAGTGAGAACATGTGGTGTTTGGTTTTCTGTTCCTGTGTTAGTTTGCTAAGGATAACGGCCTCCAGCTCCATCTGTGTCCCTGCAAAGGACATGATCTTGCTTTTTCATGCCTGCTTAGTATTCCCGTGGCGTATATGTACCACATTTTCTTTGTCCAGACCATTGATGAGCATTTAGGTTGAATCCATGCCTTTGCTGTACAGCATGTTTTCTTTGAGTCTCATTGCATGTCTCTTTTATCTCTAGATATTCTCTCCTTATAACACTGAGGCCAAGTCTTCCTTCGACCTACTGCATTCACTATGTCTGAAAGGAGAACTTTGAGACATATGTATACATTTTCTGAAATTTTTTTAATGTTTTATAGTAACAGACTTGGTCCTTTTATCTTGTGGTAGGCAGAATAACAACTCCTCAAAGATGCCCAGGGTCTAATCTTCACAACTTTGAATATGTTACTTTATAGGACAAAAGGCACTGTGTAGATGTGATTAAGTTAAAGTTTTGTGACCATTAGATTATCTGGATTATCAGGCTGATCCCAGTGTAATCATAGAGATCCTTAGAAGAGGGAGACAGGAGGAGCAGAGTCAGAGGAGATGTGATGATGGAAGCCGAGGTCAGAGAGAGAGAGATTGGAAGATGCTACGCTCCTGGCCTTGAAGGTAGAGAAGGGAGCCGTGAGCCAAGGAATACAGGTGATGACCTCTAGAGCTGGAAAAGACAAGGAAACAGATTCTCTCTTAGAGCCTCTAGAAAGAATGCAGGCCTGCCAGCACCTTGTTCTTAGGACTTCTGAACTCCAGAACTGTAACATAATAAATTTGTATTGTTATAAGCCACCAAATTTGGGGTAATTTATAGCAACAATGGAAAACTAATCCAGATTTCACATAAAAAAGAACTTTGTATATGTGATAAAGGTTATGGACTCTCAGATGGGGAGATATTCTAGATTGTCTGGATTGGTGAAATCTAATCACTTGAACCCTTAAGGAGAGAAAAATGTATCTAGTTAGAGTCAGGGAGATGCAACAGAAGAGGCCAGATGAGAAATGAGGGAAAGGGGTAAGTCAGAGTGATAAAGACTCAGCATACCATTGCTGGGTGTGAAGAAGGAGTAAGGGGACCACAAGCCAGAGGACGAAGGTGGCCTCTAGAAGCCAGAAACAGACATTTCAGTCCTCCACGCACAGGGAGCTGATCTCAGCAACAACCTAAGTGATCATAAAATGAAATACTCCCCTAGAGAAACAGCCAAGACAGAAAGGAATAGAGCTCTGCTGATGCCCTGATTTTGGCCTTGTAAAACCCAGAGCAGAGAAAACCAGCCAAATCCTCTAGACCGACAGAACTGTGATAAAATAAATGGTGTTGTTTAAAGCTTCTAAGTTTGTGGTGATTTGTTACAACAGTAATAGCAAACGAATAAACATCTCAAGTTACAAAACTCAAACTCAACCTCACAGGGTCTATTTTACTCCTATAATAAAAGCTCTGATACAGGTCAGTTGCTGGGTTGATAATCCAGTGGCTTGATCCCTGTTCAGAGAACCAAATTCTTCCACATTTCTGCTAAGCCATCCTTGAAATGGTAGCCATGTCCCCTAGCGGTCACAGGTGGCTACAGCCACTCCAGGAATACTTCCAGACAAAGAAAGATTTTTTCCTAAGGCATCTCTTTTAATAGGGAAAAAACACTTTCCCAGAAGTTCCCCAGCAGATATTTCATCTTGCTTCATTGACTGGAACTAAGTTCTATGGGAACCACTAAAAATCACTAACAAGGAGGATAGAAACAGACTTGGATCAATTCAATTTACACAAGTCACATAGGATAGGGATAGGCAACAGAACAAAAGGCAGGACTCTGCTTCGTGGGAAAAGGACAAAAATGACTATGGGTACCCATCATCAGCATTTGCCTCAAGGTTTTAGTTATCCTAGAACAGTGAGTTACTGATGCAGAACTAAGGTTGCCCAGCTGAAACAATGAGTGACTTAGTTGGAGTCCACCTCAGTTCCCACCAAATTCAAAAACCAGAGTACACGACATGGATGCATGATCAGAAGTCTAAAATATCAAAGACTGAACAGAGTGGTAACATTTAACTCCAAATCAGGGACCTACAAGCTATTAAAGAGTCTAGAGAGAATGAGATTGAGAAGAAATTGAGTAAGTCATTGAAATCCAGAAGACCGTAAACTATATGTGTCCCATACTAGGAAAGCAAAGTCTCTGAGAGATGCTGAGGAGCTGGCCATAGCTGAGCTACATGGTTAGGTAAAAGTGCTGGGCTGGCTGGAGATGGGGTGCTGTGTATATGGGGTGCCTCTGCTCTGCTTATGCTGTGTCTACCTTGGTGTTGGGGCATCTAGCTTATCACTGCTGCATACATGATGCCCTCATGTCAGCAAGCTGGCTGGTCAGGTCAGGATTTATCAGTATGGAAAGAAAATCTGTCCAACTTTCAGGAAGTCTCTTCAGGTTCCTGAAGGAGGGAAGGAGGATGGAGAGAGAATGGGTGGCAAGAGAAAAAAAAAGAGGACAGATGAAGATGGAAAGGGAAAGGAGGAAAGTCAAAAGGAGGGGAGTGGAGAAGAGCGAAGGGGAAATGAAGACAGGGGAGGGGAAAGGAGAACAGAAGGAATTGTTATAAATAAATCTGAGCACCTCATCCCTCCAACTAAAACCTTTTAACACCCTTGTGGTTAATACCAACAGTCACGTTTGCCTTTTTCCCATGCTGTAGAGCCCTGAGTTTCGTTCTGTTGTTCACCTCTGTCTCAAACCACTCAGGCAATGCTAACTGAATTGATCTCATTCTCTTTGTCGATGATGATTTTAGTGGTTTGCTTATGGCCCATTCCAGTCCATGGGACAGGTCAGAAGGTAGCCAAAGGTCTTAGCAGAGCTTTAGCATGGCTTGTGTTTCTTGCACACTCTAGGCTCTGACAGATTTCGTGGCTTCATCTTACACCCCTTCCTCCCTCCATCTCTCTAGTCTGGCTACACTGAATTTTTCCCATCACTTCAAAGTGTCACAATCTCTTGATGCCAGAATTTGTTCTTATTCCACTCGTTTTCCTCCTTCCCACACCTTTTTCTTCTTCTTTAAATGTCGCTTCTTCAAGAAGGTGTTTCTTACCCCATTGGCTAGATCAGGTTTCTATTTTGACATTAGTACTCTTTTCTTCATTCAGTAAATCATGCAAAAAAAAAATACTATGTTTTATGTTGCCAGTCAGATTACTAAATGTTGTCCACAGGAAAATCAGCCACCAAAACAGCCACAGCCCTTGCACTCACCACACTGTTGATTACTCAGTGAATGTCTGTCTTCCCAGCTGTACCTAGAAAGCTCTGTGAGGGATCTGTCTTGTATTGCACTAGTTCCCCAGCTTTTGGAACGGTATCGAACACATAGTAGGTATTCAATAAAGAGTTGTTGAATGCGTGAATAAATAAGGAAAGTGGGAAATTGAGAATCCTTAAGCAATGGAAATGTCTATAACTGGCCCTGGTGAGCAAAACATTTCTGCTAGGGAGATCAACTGTTCAATTCCAGTTTGGAAATGAAGGGTTTGGGAGGACTTGGGACTCTCAGTGCTAAAATTGAGAAACTCCTGAGGAAACCGAGACTAGTTGGTCACCCTCTATTTACGGTCCTCCAAACCAAAGGAGTTCCTCTGTTTGTCCTCACTTTCCACTCTTTTCTACCCATAACTGATCTTTCGGGAAGATATTTCCATTCTGCCTCTAAACAGATAGAAATGTTTCAGGCTCTGCCATTGTTTCCTGAAATGGTCGATTCTCAAGGCTGACAAGTTATGTATTTTACCATCAGAATTTTAAACTCTGGACCCCTCACCTCTGGGTAGAGTGAAAGCTGCTGATGCGTGTGTTCAGCCATTTGTACTTATCATCTTCAAAACTTCTCATCCTTAAAAAGGTCCCAAAATCAAAGCACTTCAGAGACACCAAACTAGAAGGTTGAAAAGCCAGTGCATTCAACCAAGCATGAAGCACTGTTCATCTATTTCAGAGACACTTCCGAACAGTTCTTCCACAGGCTCTGTCAAGCAATGTTTCTCTTCTACATGAAAACTTTGAAAGAGAAGAGGGAAAAGCAAAGGGCTATCTTATATACAGACACGCATTTGAACATCCGTGGGTTTTTTGCTTCAAGAACTGAAATTTTCTCTTCACGGAGATGATAGAATGCTCTGAAAATGACCCAAAAGACCAGTGAAAATCCAAACTGCAGTCTGCTTTTTGTTTGTTCCAAGGCACAGAGTACTGGCATTAGGCTCTTAGCTCTGGCCAGAGTTTCAATGTTTTGACTCCTTGCTCGGTATTCCCACTCTTCAGCATCACCACAATACAGCTTCCCTGTGTGTATGTGTCAATAAATTGTTTTCAAGTTTGATTTTTTTATTTAAATTGAACATGTTTTCACGGTTCATGTTTCACCTAGAACCAGCCTACTCAAAAGGGCAGGTGTTCATATTTTTATTGATTATGACTGGTAGAGCTTATATTAAGGGTTGTTAGATTTTGACACATATAAATAAGGAAGAAAGCACACACTCTGACAAATTGTAAAGGTAAATCCTCCTCTCAAGGTGTTTTTGTATGTCCTTTAAAGACATACTCCCTGCTCATCACTGGAGCCTCTCCCCTTCAGTATTACTGGCATGGGCAATGGCAGGTCTCAGCCTTGTGTGTGTGTGTGTGTGTGTGTGTGTGTGTGTGTTTGTTTTTTGAGAGGGAGTCTCACTCTGTCACCCAGGCTGGAGTGCAGTGGCGCAATCTCGGCTCACTGCAACCTCTGCCTCTAGGGTTCAAGCAATTCTCCTGCCTCGGCCTCCCAAGTAGCTGGGATTACAGGCACATGCCACCACGCCCGGCTACTTTTTGTATTTTTAGTAGAGACAGAGTTTCACCACAGTGGCCAGACTGGTCAGAAACTCCTGACCTCAAGTGATCCACCAGTCTCAGCCTCCCAACATGCTGCGATTACAGGCGCGAGCCACCGTGCCCGGCCAGGTCTCAGCTTTTGAAAATCAAGTAGCCTATCTCTTTTGAAGTCACATCAAGGGATCTAGCATGACCCATCAGCGACTTCTCTCATAAGTGACCCACATCTGGTCTTCATGAAACAGTCAACGCATCCTCTACTGTTACAAATTAGCTCCTCTTCACTTCACTGTCTGCGCCTCTTTCTGGTCAAGTTTCTCACACAGTAGATTTCTGAAGCATGAGCCGGATACTAGTCCATTATATGCTCCAAACTCCAGGAGTCACAGATCAAGCTCTCTGAGTGTCCCAATCAAGCCCCTTCTTCCTCATGATGGAGGAGCCTACTGTGGTGGCTTCTATTGCAGCCTTGCCCACATCCCTTCCTCCAGGTGGGCACACTCATCCCCCAGTTGCTGTGTTAGCCACCAACAACTCGCAGCTGCCCTTCTCAGGGAAGGCCTCTTGAGAGAGCAGGACCATCAGGCCATCTCACCTGGGAGGTTATGCCTCTCACGCCACAGGCCAGTCAATGGCCAATGACTCACTGACGTGGGGTCCAGAAGTCTGAAACCCTAGCTTCAAAGTGAGACAATTCTGTGATGTGATTCATGCTCCAGAGCTCCCAGGGAAACCGAGCTAGACTGCTTTCCAACTGGAAACCTCTCATTGCGTGGCTCTTTCCCTTACCCCATCCTGTAACCCTTACTTCCCACCGCCTGAGAGCACCCACCCAGTAAGTCACTTGCACAAGGATCCCCATGTCAGGCTCTGTTTCTAGGGAATCCAATCTGAGACATGGCCCATCACCCATGGAAGCAGGTAAGGCAAAGGAGACTCACAACACAATAGTAGTTCTGTTCACAAACCTCTTCTAATTCTCATCTGGCCACATCCACTCTTCTTTGCCCTTCAGTGGCCAATAAGTGGTGAGCGGCAGCAGCATCCTAACGAATGTTTATCAACTCCCTTCTAAAGTCTAGCATAGGTGGCCTTATGGGAAATGGGAATATGGGAAATGTTAGCATCTATTTGCTTGAGCCCAGGAGTGAAACAGTTCCCTTTGACTTCCTGATGTTATATGAGGCGCATATAAAATTCCGAGCACATGACAGGAGCCTGCTGAATGCTATTATGTTAAAATCTTTTAAAATCGTGTGTTGAGAACTCACCGCATGCCACATGCTAGGCTCCGTGACAAACATTATTATCTCATTCTGTCCTCACAGTGACTCTTCAGAGGGTCACAGTGCTATTAATCCTCATTTTACTTATCCTCATTCATAAAGCCAAATTTCAGAAAACAGTCCATGCCTGGGCCTTGTTCCAAACCGAGGTTTCTGCCTGATTCTTTATGAGACCTTTTTCTCACTGTGCTGGCTTCCCCACCCTGAAACTGCTCTCCCTTTGGCAGCTAGTTGCTCCCGCAACCTGTCGGCAGGGCTTCCAGCTGCAGCTTCTAACTTCTTTCCTGCTGACAGCAGACTCTTCTGTTTTCATTCCTCCTTGGCATTCAGATCTGCATGAGTTCTGAAGAAGAACAAGATGGTTTTATCAGAGTCCTCAGTGGAAAAAAGAAAGGCCTCGTCCCCCTTGATGTCCTAGAAAACATCTGATTCCTGACTCCTCCTCCGTTTGCAGTAGGCAAGCTCTCTGCTGGTGCCTCTGCCTCATCTCGCACTGCGTCAACCCAGAGGAGCTGCCGCACTGACCCAGCCCCCAAGGAAACAGTGAGACAAGACTCAAGGATCAGAGACTGTGAAGTAACAGCCACAAAATAGAGGGCCCACTGCACAGCATACCCAGGCCGCCCCAAGTGGGGACGAGGCTGGGAGAGTCGGAAGGCAGAGCCAGATGCCATGCCTGGCAGCAGCAGCAAGACTATAAACTCCAGCTGTCCCCCAGGACCCCGCTTCTTTCCTGTCTGTGTGGTGTAAGTTAACACCCTGGAGTGTGCTCCAGTTTGCAGGGTAGCCTAGTGCAAGGTGCAGAGCCATGCAGCCACATATTATTCTGGTTCCAGACCTGTCACCAGTACTGATCAGTCAGTGTCATCACATTTCAGACCCCAGCAATCTCTGCGCAGAGCATCAGAAAGGCCTGCTTCCCAGCCCTCAGCATTCCAGTGCTCCCCAGGCTCCCTCTCTTTGTAATTGTGCTGGCCAGAGTGTCTGATGTGTTCTTTCTGTCTCTTCAGTCCTCTGAGTACATCTGCCGGTGTGCATTAAATGTGAGGGCTATGCTGACATGGTATGACCTGCAAAGACCTGACCTGCCTAAAGATTGCTGACAGGCCATCCTTCCTGCTGTCCTAGTTACTGACCTGGGTGACAGAGCATGACAGGAGACATAGACACAGTGAGGAAGAGAAGTGGGGGAAGGTGGGGCAGAGAGCTCTTACTTATTGAAGATTATACAGCCCTTTCAGTTATGAAGTCCCTATTTGAAGGAGATGGACCTGGGAGAGAGACTCTAACAAAAAGTCTCCATTTTCACTTTGCATCCTCTCTGTTGGAGGCACTGTTTTTCCTTCATGCTGTCCTATAGGACTCCACTTTGGAGGTTGAGCCTGCCTTGTGGAGAACCAGGAACATGGAGGGGAAACAACAGCGTTTTAGAAGAAATGTAGCCAAATTGGAATCCATTCTTCTTTAGGGCAGTATATTATATCCTAACAGATGTAAAATGGAAAAGAATCCTCATGCTTCATCCTTCTGAAAGTAGAGGAACTAGGGGCCCAATTAGCATCATGTAGGGGAATCTCTATTACTCTGTACTTGTACTAATGTTTACAAGAATGCAATATACTGTGATGCCTTCCTACTCAAGCCTCCTAGCATTCAAACTTGCATCCTATTAGTCATTAACATGGTTAAACTTCAATTCACAATGACCTTGGAATCAATGTCAGTTTGATTTATTTTGTTACAGTGCAATAAAATCATTAGAACAGTGGTTTTTAAAAGACTTAAATGGGTGCATCCCACGCATGTAAACATTATTTCCCAGACCAAAGCGTCATTAGTCTCCATTTATTTCTTTTGTTTTTACTCTTTGTGAAGTTGGGAACTGAGAGGGATGGCTGCTGGTTTCACAGAAGTTTGGATGCCTTACTCTTATCTTAAACCCAGCATCCATAATTTCCTCCCTCTCTGATGCCACATGCAAAACCAGGTACAATGTCAAGATGCATTCTTCGAGAGCCAGGGTAGATCATGTGACTGTCTTTCTGTAAAATTGGATGCCTAGTACAAATGCTCTTTGCCTCTAATTCAGTATTCCATTTAATAAAAACAACACAGTGGCTAGAAAGGAGCATCAGAAACGTGTCCTGATCTCTTCTTTCTGCTGTGATATCCATTGAATTTTTGGTACAGTGATGTCACATCATAGACATGTTTAATCAAGTAGAATCTTAAAAATTGGTTTGCCTTTTACAGTTGAATAGAAGGAAGATGTGGCATCTAGCCTCCAAGGTACTCTCCCAGTGATCCCTACCTCCTCATATGCTTTCCTTTGTGTAGTCCCTTCCCACACTGAAATAGGGCTGGTCTTATGCGGCCAATAGAATACAGAAGAAGTGGTACTACAAGGCTGTCTTAGTCTATTTTCTGTTTCTATAACAATATATCTGAGGCTGGTTAACTTATAAAGAAAAGAGATGTATTTAGCTGACAATTCTAGAGGCTAGGAAGTCCAAGAAGCATAGCCCTGGCATTTACTTGGCTTGTGGTGATGGCCACGTACTGTATCATAGCATGGCAGAGAAGCAGAATAGAAAGCGGGCATGTGCAAAGAAAGAGAGACACCAAACACGAGGAGCCACCTTGATTTTTAACAACGCATTCTTGAAGTAACAAATCCCGTCCCAGGTGAGCAAGAACTCACTCACACCCATGGGATAGTATTAATCTCTTCATGAGGGA